GGATAATTTGAAGTTTCTTTGACGTTGCTAACTTTTTAATCTCCCCATTTCTAGCGGAACCGGTGTTCGGCAGCAGTTTGACTGAAATTTGCAAGCGCGAAGGCCGTACTATCCCGAAATTCGTCATCCTCTGCACCCAAATCATCGAGCAACGTGGTTGGACTTTTTGCTAAGTCTTGCATATTTTGTGATCGCCGTTTTTCTTGTTAAGATCTCAATACGGACGGTCTCTACCGGATGAGTGGCAATCTTTCTCAGATCCAAAAAATTCGGTGTCAGGTCGACCAAGGTTGTTCTTTTCTGCGTATTTGTGTTCTGTAATTAAAATCTTGTTTTAGAAAAATACAGTATTCTGGAATTCGAAAGCGATGTTCATGTCCTCACTGGTGCGTTGAAGCTATTTTTCCGCGAACTTCAAGAGCCGTTGTTTCCACATAACTTAGTAAAAAGTTTCATGGATGCAATAAGTACGTACTTTGTACTATTGTTGCTGCACCTACGCTTTGCGTTCTCATTAAAGTAAGTATTTTCTCTGTTGCAGAATTGCAAGTGATGCGCGATCGCCTAAAGACGTTCGTTGAGGCCATTGCCAAGCTACCTGCGGTTCATCACGACACCCTTGACCATCTCCTCCGGCATCTGCTAAAGTGATTCTTTAAACTGATTTCGTTTTATATAATGATACATTCGATGAATATTAGTTTTCGTTCGTTTTCGTTTCAATACTTAAGGGTCGCTGAACATTCCTCTAAGAATCGAATGCAGATTCACAATCTAGCCATAGTTTTCGGCCCTACGTTGTTCTCCACAAATCCAAAGGATGATAAAAACGACAGCCGGAAAAAGTCATCAAAAAAACCTGCCCATGGACGACCAGCGGCGAGCAAAGCAGGCAGTACCGTGCGTACGGATGTTATACAGTCAAACTCTCATCTGGCGTTCAATATGATAATGCACGGCCAAATCGTCGAATACATGTTGAGAGAACACAAGCACTTGTTCAAGAGGTAAGCCTGGTACAGAAATATACGGTCTTTTGGCACCTGCTATCTTTTTCGTTTGCAGTGATCTTTCGCCTTTACCAGTGCTGTAATTTATGTACAGTTCGGCTTTAAAATTAATATAAGTATTTAATGCATTCCGTTATTTCGGGTTGTGATTTTTGCAAATATTTCGAAAGTGTGTATGTTTATGATCAATTACATCGTGTCATGAATCTGTCGATGTAGTTTTTACATGTACGTTATATCTGAGAATGTTTCATGGAGTCATATACAGCGTTGTGCTGGCGCTTGCTGATTTTATTTCATTTTTAATAAAAGTTTTATCCACGTTTCTTTTAAAAATGCTGCGCTAGAAAACGACAAAAATATGACTTTGAACGAGTGGTTCAAGCGACAAGGTAAACAGCTGCGGCTACTCTTGTTCTTACATCTTACCCGCTTTAGACAGCGTTGTTGATACAGATAGTGTCAAACATCGAGACAATTATTCACGGGCAGTTGCCATGCATGACTTTGTGCTGCCTGACAGGTGACTACTTAAAGAGGCAACATATCTGTCACAAAATAACTGCTTAACCAAAAATGTCCGTAATTATGAATATTTATATCAAGCGCGCACGGATAATCTGATGCAACAAATGCTGGCACCCATCCCACTGCTCATTACCATGTTGCCTTGAAGAATTATAACATGCGTTTGAAACAGATGGGAATTGGGACATAAAACAGATTCTGCAGAGCAAGCTGCTTCAGTTGTGCGTATTCAAGAAGTGCAATGAAAATCGAAAACTGCACTAACCATCCTGAATAAGTATGACTCAATATCTAAAGGCCTTTGCTGAAGCGACGGACTGCCAAATGTAGGCATGTCGGCAACTTTAAAAAGCAGTACTTTAAATTTAATGCCCAACCGTAACCTAACCTTTATATACAACTTCATCTTCCATCGCCGCTTCTTTCGGGTCGCGGAAGCAGACACGTCAGGCAGCTTCCAACGTTACCTATCCTGTGCCAGAGTCTGAGCTTCGGCAGGAGACAACTGGAGTCCGGAACAGAGTTCTGTATATTTGCACCAGGTTAAACTTGGCCGTCCCCTGGGCCTTTTGCCGGTCGGATTTGCAAGGAACAGTTGCTTA